AAATGGCCAAATAGAAAAATTACTAGACTTAAACAGAGGGGATCCATCAGCAGAGACTATGAGAGATATCACTTTGCTGACTAAATAATCTTCTGGCAGAGAAGCAGCAAATTTTTGATTACATTGGCCATCATACAAGTCATTCATAGAGTTAGGAATACATTTCTTTATGATTTCGTTCGGGTGGGAAAGATTTTTTTTTACATCCTCATCCAACAATAAAAGTTCTAGTTGGGGACCTAGTTGGTAAAGTACAAAAAATGATGCCTTTGTAAGGTCCTTAATGTTATTAGAATGACCACACTCTGCACAAATTAAAACTGGATCTACTGAACTGTCACAGTTTCCAAAAGAATATGAACAGTTTGAACAGAAAAAGTATTTTACAATTCCTTCTGAACAATTTAATAAGCAGTCTAATAAATAAGCTGTGTTTGGAATAACAGGTGATATGAAAAGAGAATTGAGTAGCTTAACAGAGTCCACAAATGCTTTGAATGTAAGATTATTTTGTTCTGCTTAATCAAGAGTCATAAGAAGTGCTTCTGCTGGGGATGCTTTGACCTGTCTTGAAATTGGTGCAGTAAATTCCTGTTTTTGAAGGGTTTGTCGCAATCTTGTATGAGTTGGTGGATTGGGATATGGTTGGATTTCTCCATCGTTGTTGTCCTGTTGTTGAGGGTCTTCTTCTATTTGATGTTCGTTTAGTTGGATACCTTCATCATTTTCCACATTGGTTTCTTGATCTTGAACAATGTCATCCTCTTCAATATACTCATCCATAGTAAGTATCTCTTCACGATTTTCAGAAACATCCTAAGACAAAGAAAAATTAAACTTGTAAATGTGCTTTAATATTTCCAGAAGCCCACACGCCCTCATTTAAGTTTCTACATACATTACTATTCTGAGGTGGGACATCTTCAACATCTCTCATATTGGCATGATTCTCTATCTCTTCATGACTTACTCTTGGTCTATTGCCCTGTAAAAAAGGCACAAAAGCAAATGACTAATTACACACTTTATATAAATGCTTAATTGAGAGCCTCCACTAAACACTAGTTAAACATAGACAAATGAATAAAATTTAGGAAAATTTTCATACCAAAATTGTGTATTCCAGTCTGTTGCAAGAGGATTGAGATTGTCTTGTTTCATTCCTATGAAAATTATTTGTAGAATTCTCATTTGGGCATTGGGACGTATCGCCTGCTTCTTCAAATGCATCAACAACACTTTCAGCATTATGTTCTTCATTCGAGTGAATGTCAGCCACTGATCCTGTGTCATCATTTGAGAAAGGGCTCTGTAGACAGAAACAAAATCTGCGTAAGAATAACTGTAATGAACATTAAAGAGAATTGCAAGAGAAGAGTCACCAAAACATGATCATACATTATCACAATCATTATGTTGATTATCAACAGTATTTTCAGCATCATGTTCTTCGTCCGAGTGAGTATCAGTGTCATCATTCGAGGAAGATCTCTGTGTAAAGATACAAGATCTGCATAAGAATCACAGTAATAAACATTGAAGAGAATCAAAAGAGAAGAGAAACTGATACATTATCGTACATAATTGCAATCTTGATCTTGATGATTTTGTGGTTCCTGGTCATTTTCTTGTCTGTCAACCTAAGAAAAATTATGATAGGAAAAGATTGAGAAATTGAAGACAAGGATGTAGTTTGACAGAAAAATAGACATACGTAATAACTTACAAAATCACCATGTTCAAGTCTTTCATCGTTGAAGATTGGTTCTCCAGGTTGTTGAAGGATTCCATCATCTGTATCACTTTCTTCCTGGTGGTCCTGTTTACAAAATTAAAAATATTACTTGAAAGGAAACGATTCACACATTTCTTCATCCCCTTTCTTACTCTATAATAATTTTCAAGCTAGAGGAGATTCAATGTATGGAAAGTTGAAGGTATATATCCAGAGCAGGAATGTTATCAAAGAAAACTGCACCCTAATTTTTGGATTCAACACACTTTGAAGTTGCACTATGCTTAAAATTTTACTTGAGTATTAGCCATTTTTCTTAGTACTGCAGAAAAAGTGTCAGATAAAACATACGCGACACCAAAACTTTGCTTACCGCCAATGCAGCAGAATTACTGAGACGCCATGCACTGGACCTCACTCTACAAAAAATGTCCTGTCAACGCCGTTAATTTATTACCAATGTTTGCTGTTATGCAATTCACGGCGTTTGCTGTGAACTAGTTCACGGCGTTCACTGTGATCTCGGTTACAGTGTTCACTGTGATCTGGCCACAGTAAACGCCGTGAATTGGAGCCTGATTTGTAGTACTTCGGTGCTCAGCGGCGTCAAACTCACAGTGTTTATTGGGGACCAGATCACAGTGAACACCGCGAACAAAATCACAGTGAATCCCGTGAGCAGATCACAGTAAACGCTGTGAATTTACCTACAGTGAAAACTGGTAATAAATTAACGGCATTTACAGGACATTTTTGGTAGAGTGCTAGGCACTAATTCACTGTCATCGAATAAGTATTGCTTGTATTTTTTCTTAGGCGGCATCTCGACAGAAAATATCCGATACTTTCAACTGTGCATTTATACACAAAATATGAGCAGAGTTCTGCTGTGCTCGCATGCTAGCAGAAACCAAACAGCAAACCAAACAAATGGGCGCAGTGCCTGGCAGCGCCTCGGTGGTGACAATCGGAACTACACTCCAATAGTCCGGAGGTTAGTGGATCCCACCTTGCAAAATGTGATACCGGAATGCCACTTGGCACAGTTGTTGTACTATCCCCAAGGATCATTTTAAGAGGTGGAGCCCAGGTGGACCCCCCTGCAGAGCGGCGGTACACGCGTTTGCCTATTTTCCAGGGGCAGCATTGAAAAACATTCGAAATAGACCTTTATCTGACTGGCTGTAGACCTTATCTGACTGGCTATCAACTTGAGTTTTGGTACAGGACCACTTCTTTGGATGCCCAACGTGATTTTACTCTGATTGGTGACGTAGCTATGCGTCGAACGGGAATTGCCTACCTCCCAGAAGCAAAATACCGTTTTCGCGAATATTAAGTTCTTGACGTCCATTAATCGGTGCATGCAAACTCCTGGGTAATCGATTAAGTATAAAAACACATTTCATCACTGCATGCGTTTAGAATGTGAACGTGGAAGAGCCCCGAACGCGCATTTGGGGTCGTCTACATATTACGTAATCACGATTTTTGGATTTTTGACCTCCTTCTCCCCCTTGTAATCAAACGTAATCAACGGTTAGGACCCTTTCCCTTAGTGGATCCCACCTTGCAAAATGTGATACCGGAATGCCACTTGGCACAGTTGTTGTACTATCCCCAAGGATCATTTTAAGAGGTGGAGCCCAGGTGGACCCCCCTGCAGAGCGGCGGTACACGCGTTTGCCTATTTTCCAGGGGCAGCATTGAAAAACATTCGAAATAGACCTTTATCTGACTGGCTGTAGACCTTATCTGACTGGCTATCAACTTGAGTTTTGGTACAGGACCACTTCTTTGGATGCCCAACGTGATTTTACTCTGATTGGTGACGTAGCTATGCGTCGAACGGGAATTGCCTACCTCCCAGAAGCAAAATACCGTTTTCGCGAATATTAAGTTCTTGACGTCCATTAATCGGTGCATGCAAACTCCTGGGTAATCGATTAAGTATAAAAACACATTTCATCACTGCATGCGTTTAGAATGTGAACGTGGAAGAGCCCCGAACGCGCATTTGGGGTCGTCTACATATTACGTAATCACGATTTTTGGATTTTTGACCTCCTTCTCCCCCTTGTAATCAAACGTAATCAACGGTTAGGACCCTTCCCCCCCCCACGTATAATTAAGTAATCCGCAAAATTTATAAAAACGAAACAAAAAAAACGAGTGGAATTCGTTTGCCAGCAACCGAACTTGTGTGTACCTCGAAACGATCACTGAGAAGAATTTCAGGAGTTTTCCATTTTATCCGCTTTTACGGTATTGACGATTGTTCACATTAATGTGAATTTTCATTCATTTCATAAAGCTCCTAAATCCATTTCGTCTTGACAAAAGAGCTTCTTAGCGGAATGATAAATGCGCATAATCATCAATGTGACTTTGGGAGGATGCTGTACAAATCGAAGAGTGTACATAGTATGCTCTAACTGGAGCATGCCTGCAAGCACGCTCTAGCTAGCGCATGTCTGCCAAGCATGCACTAACTAGTGCATACATGCCATGTACACGCTTCCTGATGCAGAAAACTCCCTATCCCTTATGCAGTAAATGTATGCTTCAGTTAGCGTGTACATGGCATGTATGCACTAGTTAGTGCATGCTTGGCAGGCATGCGCTAGCTAGAGCATGCTTGGCAGGCATGCTCCAGTTAGAGCATACTATGTACACTCTTTGATTTGTAGAGTTCGTTTTTTGCCACACTTTTTAGTAGAAATCCTATTACTTCAGGCCGTTGTATAGTGCTTTTCCTTCAACGCATTAGTAAGAATCCCAAAGATTTCCGCCCCTGCTCTTCTACGAAATACCCTATGACATAAGAAACAACGAGGCGTTTCATGGGAAAATTCATGGCGAAACCCGTCGTGACCGAAAAGTCAGGCCGCGTTGTACCCTCAATGCGCGTTCGAGGCTCTTCCACGTCCACATTCTAAACGCATGCAGTGATGAAATGTGTTTTTATACTCAATCGATTACCCAGGAGTTTGCATGCACCGATCAATGGACGTCAAGAACTTAATATTCGCGTAAACGGTATTTTGCTCCTGGGAGGTAGGCAATTCCCGTTTGACGCATTGCTACGTTACCAACCAGAGTAAAATCACGTTGGGCATCCAAAGAAGTGGTCCTGTACCAAAACTCAAATTGATAGCCAGTCAAATAAGGTCCATAGCCAGTCAGATAAGGTCTATTTCGAATGATTTTCAATGCTGCCCCTGGAAAATAGGCAAACGCGTGTACCGCCGCTCTGCAGGGGGGTCCACCTGGGCTCCACCTCTTAAAATGATCCTTAGGGTTAGTACAACAACTGTGCCAAGTGGCATTCCGGTATCACATTTTGCAAGGTGGGTCCCGGTATGCGCCGCTAACGTCCGGACTATAGAAACTGAACCTGATGTCCAAATGATGTTTCCGAGACGGAAATGGAAACGTCTGATCATGCTTTATCAGTTTAAGACCACCGGGACCCTCTACGAGCAGTAGAGGACTGATGGGAAAAAATTACAAAATTACAATTTTTTTCCTTTTTTTACAAAATGCCAAAATTGCCTTCAGGGTTTGATACGGCCATCGTGACGTCACCGTCCCCGAACCATACCCCGAATCATCTTCTCTAAGGACCCCTTCCCCGTTTACAGCGCACGGGGTACCCCGGGATCCGGTCACACGTTAGGATATGGACGCCAAAAACACATGTTTTACTAAAAATGCAAATTATCGATACTCAGGGCACTGTAGGGCACTCGTCTCGTCCGTATGAACTGTAGTGACTTAAAATCGATTACTAGATGGTGTCTTTGCGTCGCAGGAACCCACCAGTATATAGACAATCGGACGAAGAGACCTTTGACACGCTATTTGCACTGTAAATCTCGTTAATCTGGACTTAAAACGTATCTCAGGCCGTAAATGGCTCGGCTGGATTAACGACAGAAGGTGGTTGCACGTTTATACGGGTTATCCTTATCCTTCGTGTAGATTCTCATTTCCTTTCTCACCGTTATGTCCGTTTGCAACGGCCCCGGGGAACATACTTACGCTTAGCGCGCTGTAGAGCTGAGCCCCCCGTAGACAGGCCCCTGTTTCGTTTGTCTTCGTTATGGTAGTTTCTTAATACCGTTAAAATTTGTGCGACTGCCTGCGACAGCCGCAGGGACATGTTACGCCAGTTGACCAATTTTGGAGGTGATGCCTTCTTACAGGTAAACATTTACCTTCGTTCTGGCGTACTGTACCTTCGCGTTTTGCTCCATTCTCCTGCGTACAGTATCAAGGTGTTAACTTACACAAACGCTGTAGGAAAAATCCACGGGAAAAATACAGGCACAGTCTGGAAGAACATTTGTCTGGTACCAGCATACCTCAGCCAGTGCGGCTTTTGGGGTACGGAGTACGGGTTTTTCATGACATAGGATCTCATGGGAAGCACGGTTTTTGGGTACAGCTGTTCTGTACCTCGTGTGGAACGGTCTAGCCGTACCTTTTTCTTTGAAATGTACGGCCTTTCCAAAAGTGTCGTAGCCCCACCAGTGGTTGGGTGGGTAAGGGTGGTGGTGGTGGTGAGTCTCGACGTGCTGCCACCTTCTCGTGGTGAGGGCTGAGTCGTCTCGGATTTTCCGGGCGAGCCAAGAGCAGTACAGTGGAAACCGAATGTTTGGAAAACGGATTTAACCGAACCTTCAATGGAAATGGCGTTCTAAAGGTCTCTCCATCCGATTGTCAATATACTGGTAGGTGCCTGTGACGCAAAGACACCATCTAGTAATCGATTTTAAGTCACTACAGTTCATACGGACGAGACGAAGGCCCTACAGTGCCCTGAGTACCGATAATTTGCATTTTTAGTAAAACATGTGTTTTTGGCGTCCATATCCTAACGTGTGACCGGATCCCGGGGTACCCCGTGCGCTGTAAACGAGGAAGGGGTCCTTAGAGAAGATGATTCGGGGTATGGTTCGGGGACGGTGACGTCAGGATGGCCGTATCAAACCCTGAAGGCAATTTTTGCATTTTGTAAAAAACGAAAAAAAAAATGTAATTTAGTAATTTTCTCCCATCAGTCCTCTACTGCTCGTAGAGGGTCCCGGTGGTCTTAAACTGATAAAGCATGATCAGACGTTTCCATTTCCGTCTCGGAAACATCATTTGGACATCAGGTTCAGTTTCTATGGCTGTTTTTAGAAAAACCCGTAAAAGTCAAATTTTCGAATTTTCAACGTCGATGCGCGAGGGTCAAGCTTTAAGTAACAGACCTGGCCCAGATCGCGTTGAGTTTGTATTGCCATGAAGTAACTTTGGCGCGCTATTACGTTTGCGATATCGAAAAAAAGTGTTTTACGGCCCACCCTAATGCCCAGGACAAAGCAGGTGGTGCCCGCGGCCCGCCGCTGGCGATGATGCTAGGGGTAGTGAAGATGGAGGGTGAGAAAGTGTCCGTTGTAGTTCATGTGGCGTCTCTCGGATTCAGTCCACTGGCCGGTGACGTTTCCCTGCTGTCAACGCATCATCGGCAGTTCGGCAAACATTCCCTCCTACCCCATCACAGAGGCTGGAGAAACCGAGGAGGCCGAAAGGCGGCTGTCCTGGAGGAGCGGCGCACGCGGCGGCTGCGACGACGCCACGGTGGCCCGCATGGAGGAGGCCGAGAAGGCGGCTGTCCTGGAGCACTGAGAATGAATTGGTCACCACCATCACCCTTTAAGGTTACTGTAAGGTGAAAAAACTATCTTCCAAAGTATAGGTGGCAGTGCTTCGGTTTTTGGTGATTTAGTTGCTTACTATGAAAAACTTTTACAGCCACAGACTGGACTCTCAACTCCCATTAGTTCCAAAGTTATGAGGGTTTTAGTGTTATTTTAGTCGTTTACTAAAAATTCTCCTTGCGATGAACCAAAAAGTTTACGGAGAGGTGACTTTTTATTTTAAGGCTTAATGGACATGCAAACAGACTAGCAAAGCCGGATTTGACAATATATGCATAGATAAGCTGTAATTTCTGTTTGGAAAATGCGTTTTGAATTTTTTACTTAAATTTGGTAAAATTTTGGTATTTTTTGGTGTTTTTTTGAGTTTTTTGAGAAAAATTCCTGTTTCATGTTCGAATTTTGGAAATCCGGCTTTGCTACGAGATAGGCAAATCAATAAAGAACTTGTAAAACAAAAATCAAGTCTCGACAACTTTTGGTTCATCGCAAGGAGAATTTTTAGTAAACGACTAAATTTGTTACGTAAACTGCAATAACACAGAAAATAATGGGAGTTGAGTGCCTCAACTGTGGGTTTAAGTTCATCTTATAGTAAGCAACCTGAAACCTAAATGCAAACATGATGCCACAATTATTTTGGAAAATGATATTTCACATTTTTTCACTTTACAGTAACCTTAAATGGGTGATGCAACTTCGTTGCCCAAATTTTGGTGACGAAAAATTCATCACCCGCAATTTGGTAACAGGCGTTTGGTCACCCAAATTTGGGTAACGTCGTCAGCGACGCTGTGAGGTTCCCGATGGCGTCCTTCCGGGGCCACCACGATGACCGGAGGCCTCAACGCCACATTGGGTCATCGTGGTGGCCCTGGAAGAGCGTCATCGGGGACCTCACGGCGTCGCCGACGGCGTTACCCAAATTTGGGCGACGATTTTATGACTGCCCAAAATTTGGTCACCGCGAGCTCGTCACCCAAATTTGGGCAACGGTGCGTGCGTTACCCAATAAAAGGGCGATGGTGGTGACTCTTTCATTCTCAGTGAGGAGCGGCGCACGCGGCGGCTGCGACGCCACGGTGGCCCGCATGGAGGTGGTCGCGGCGCAGCTGGCCTCGATGTGCACCACCAGCGACGGCCTCGATGCGGTGTCGGCAGCCGACGAACGGGGCGACTTTGGCTCCGGCTGCACCATGGTGGAGAAGTCCCACCGGTGGGTTAAGGTCTGGAGGGCTCTGGAGGCACCACTGTTAAAAAAAATTACTGAAAATTCATAATTTTTTGTAAGAAGTCGATTTACTTACATTCAGTCTGAATTTTCATACCAAAACTTTCATACTTCGCGGTCTGAAAGTTTCAGACGACGTTAGTCTGAATTATCAGATCAACATGTTGTATGAAAAATGATACCAGTCGGTGCATTTTATCAGACTAAGTTGTACGAAGACATTGAACAGTCGCACTTAAAAATGCCACTCTGTAGAGTAGAACACAAATCGGCGAACTTTTGCCATCGGTTTATCGTAGACGCTCAGCGGGTCGTCTCGGCTCAAAAATTAGGTACACGGCAGTAGACTCCTACTTGCAAAGGAAGAGAAGAGGCTAGAGGTGACTGCTGAATTGCGAGGGAGAGCGGCCTTAGCCCAACCACGCGCCGACCCGTGGCCATGCGCGAGAGTGAAATTGCATTCTTTGTTATTTAGCTTATACTGCACTTATTAACCTCACTGTTAAAAAAAATCTGAAAATTCAGACCACTTTTGTCAGACTTGGTGGTCTGAATCTATTTTTCAGACTTGTTTCAGACTGCTTGTCTGAAAATTTTGCCTTCCGGTATGAAAATTGCGACCTGATCGTCTCAGAACCTGAATTCAGACCAGCGCAGTCTGAAAATTTAGATGGTTAAGTCTGAAAATTCAGACCAACCCAAGATGTCGTTTGTCCGCTAGATGGCGCGCATGTTGTGGAACATACCTACTTCTGTTTAAAAGGCTTCTAATGTGAAAATATATTGGTTCAAAAGTTCCAAATTGATAGGACTTAATCGGCCATATGAGAACCATTCTCTGCCGCAAGATTTATCTCCCTAATATGGGTGAAAGTTGAACAATCCACAATTTACCTCTCGCGGGTGGCTCCGTGTCGCCATTTCCTTGGGTGGCACAGGCCGGCCTCTCGAGAGTCAGGGAAAAGGACAGAGGACCTTCTCCCTCATCACAATTTTTACTCAATGTTGTCCTCTCTGGAGGTTCACACACACCTCAGATTCTTTCTGTCATAGTGAATATGCCACGAACCTTAAAGTTCACAATCTTCGTACAGGACTGAATTTTCAGACCACCAAACTCTTAAATGTAAGACTCTCGAGTTCTGAATTTTCAGACCATCTAAATGGTCTGAATTTTCAGACCTCAAGTCTGTTAATAACTTCTTACCAATTTGGTCTGAATTTTCAGACTTTTTTTTTAACAGTGCTGAATCTTTGCTTTGGTGCGCTCATGCCCTTTCAGACAATCACTTGGAATAAGTTTGAAACAAAATATTCACAATTTCGCCTTCAAGTGGCAATTTTAGCTCCAAAAGATCATCCATGCGACACTAGCGCCACCTAGCGGATAGAGCAATAAGTGTCCATTTCGGAGCTCTGAAACATTCTCTATGCTTTTACGACACTAAACGTAAATATTATTTGGAATGCATCAGTAGTATTGATAAAAGTTCTGAGAAAATCGAAAAATGTACAAAGGGGACGGGTTTTTTTCACTCGTTTTCCGATTTCACAAGTATGAATTTAGTTTTCGGACGACAATGTACAAAACTTGATAGCCATCGCTCTAAATATTCAGACTTGCTAGTCTAAATTCAAATTTCAGACAACAGGTCAAACTTTTCAGACAGTTGGTCTTAATATTCGTACCATTTTATGAATTTACGATTCAGACCACCAAGAAAGACGAAATCAGTCTGAATTTTCATATTTTTTTTAACAGTGAGTACTGCTATCGTTGTTCTTTCTCTCTTGGGCTCGTGGCGCGGGCCGTAGATGTGCAAGAGAGACAGTGCGACGGAGCGCCGTTAGGAGTCAGCCTGCAGGCGTGAGGCCTGTGGGATCGCCGTGGCGAGTAGGCAACCAACCATACGCCGCGGCAACGCTGGCTTGTCTGCCTTCTGGCGCTCCTTCCGTCGAAAGTCCGCTCTACTCGCAGTGAAAGAATATTGTCTGGGTCGTGGTGTAAACGGGCCTTGTGAATACTCGAGCACAAGCATACAAGCGCTGGGAACACGTTTAGAGTGCAGAGACGTGCGGCCCAGCAACTCAAAGCTGCCAAGAAGTCGTGTGCTACCACCAGCACAACCAACACTGAGCTTCATAAGTATATTTTTTGTACTCAGACGGCTTAGTTTGGGAGTCCTTTAGAATGTAATTTGATTTCGTCTTTCAATTATTTTTTGTCTTATAAAATTGGAAAAATAAACTCAAAACAATATATTGCCATGTTTTGTTTTTTTTGTAATTATGTTTTATGATCATATAGAGTGACCAACATCCAAACCATAGGTGTAACTTCTGAGAAAGGAGACTGAATCAGAAATACAGGAAAATAAATTCAGATCTTTTAATTGTGGCAACACTTGGCCAGGGCTACAAACAATAAAGCACAACTGACACACTGACATAATCTGAGTCATTACTAGTGAGAAACAATGGTGTCAAAAATTTACCATGCTGACAAATCTTGGACTTCACTAGTTTAAGATAATTGAGTAAAAAATTTACAATGGCAAGACACAAGAAGAAGCATTCAAATCTGGCACTCAAATTCCCTGGGCGACAAACCCAACTATCCAACAAATTGGTCAAATACTCTCATGACTCTTGTTGACGCCAAGTGCAGGAACCTATTGATACTGATATGTCCTCGCATGACATTAAGAGTCAGGTTCCGGATGCGACGGTCATTGTTGATTGCTGATACCTTCCTCTTTCGACTGATTGGTAGCCCCATGTTAATGCGTCTCGGACTAAGACGAGCATCACTGTCATATCTTCGTAAGGCCACTGCAATGAAATGGAAATTACTCATAAGTCTGAAGGACCATAATTATGGGATAGCATACAATTGTTTACTTACTCAAAAAGTGCCAAA